CCGGCGCGCCCCAGCGGGTTCGGCAGTAGCGAGTCTTAGTCGCGTGGGAGTTTGTGAGTTATGCAGCGTCACACAGACACGTTGCTATGAAGCTCGCAAGTGACAGATGACAACCGCGTGTTCAGGATCGCATAGAGTGGCTGAGTAACTGTGCACTCTGCGCCGAAAGTTCGACGATAACCCGCAGCAAAACAGCCATTTATCGCACAAAGTGCAGCACCCTCTGTTTTATCGAAGGGCCTCTGCTCAGTCTGGCGATACGGATAAGATTCGACGCTTCGGCGGCGCGCGGCGCCAGGTGTCTCGCCCGACCCACCGCTCTCAGTCAGTGGGACCTCCCACGCCGGCGGGTCAATCAGGGTCGCTCGAGTGGGGCCGCCCGGCCGGCGCGGCCGTCCTCGAATCGATGCGACGCGACGGTGGCTGCTCGCCGATTCGGCCGGCGCCGGGCACCGCTATCGAGCGCGCCGTAACGTGCCCCAACGGCCGGCCCCGCCAGGTCAGGGGCGCAGACGGGGGGACAGCACCGCCACCACCGCCGCCGCCGCCGCCGCCGCCGCCCGACCCGACATTCCTCGACCTCGCGAAGGCGTTTGACGGCGGGTCGGGGAGAGGAGGGGCGGCCGGCCGGCCGTTCGGTCGCCGGTTTTGGCGGGGAACGCGGCAGGGGTGCGGGCACGCTGTTTGGTCCGGACGCGGCGGGACGTTTGGTTGGGTCGCCGAGTGTTGACACGGCTCCGCTCGGCCACGCCGTCGGCGGAAGGGTCGGCCCGAGGGGCTCGCCGGACCGCGGCAGGGGAATGGGGCGCCTCAACAGGCGCCCCAGGACGCCGAGACGACGACGCGGGTAGCCGCCCGTTGCCAGCTACGCAGCGCGCCTCGATACCGGCGCGTCACCGCAGAGAGCCGCGCTGAAAGAAGCTTGAGCTTAGCCAGGTGAGCCAGAAGATTTAAGTCGGAAAGGCTGGAGCCTGAGACGGCTGAGAGCTTGAGGGGTTCTCGAAATGGGCTCGTCGGCGCCAAAATCTAGTGGCAAAATGGATGTCCAGACTGCAGGCCCCGTGTCGGTCTGACCGAGAGCCATACTATTAATCTGACCGTGCGATGAACGAGACACAGGTCTCCAATCACACGGGCCAGCGCTTGTCGGCCGCTTATCGCCGCCCTCTGTTTGGTCGCGTGGGACAAAGGTGCGCCGGCGCCGCTGCCGGCGCTTATCAGGTGCGCCACGTGACCAGAGGCGCACAATGGAGACGCGCCGCTGGGGTTGGCATAGCTCGGCATCCAAAGCAAACATGCGTCGGCCCGGTTACGGCAGGGCGGGCCGCCGGCCGCCGAGCCTCCGCCGAGCACCAGTGCCGCTCTGACGCGCCGCCCGCCGGGCTCCTGTCGCGACGTTTCAGCGGCGCCGCGTCACACTCCACACCGCCGCCGATCACCAGTGCTGCTGTGACGCGCTGCCCGCCGGGCTCCTGTCGCGGCGTTTCAGCGGCGCCGCGTCACACCCCGCAGTGCCGCCGAGCACTGCCGGTCGATAGGGCTGGCTCCACCCCAGCTGTCGCTGCTGCTGACGACGGCGCGGGCCGTTCTCGCCGGCCAGTGCGGGTCAGGCGGGCGTCCCGCTTCCAGCGGTGCGCGCGTGACGAACTTAATTACGCCGGGTCTTTTATCGCCCCTTCAATGGAAGCGGTCGCGTGCTGAGCGGAAAAGAGAAATAGATTGAGGTGGATGCTGATGGTGCATGGTCTGTCTGGTCTTGCGGAACCTCTTGCTACGTAAACGGCATCAAGGTGCAAACTGTACACATCATGCATGTATATATATATATATATATATATATATATATATATATATATATGTATACATGAAACGTAACTCATAATGATGTGCAGAGGTAGTCGCCATAGAAAACTACACTTGAATAGTGCACCTGTTTAGAAACGGAAGCTTGTTCGTACATGCCATGATGACATTGCCGGACAAAACGGCCGAAGGACCGAGCGCCGTTTCGTAAGTTCTCAGGTTTACTTACTACCGCAAGCGTATTACTTAGCGGAGCTTAAACTGCACCATGCCTCTGCGATATCACAAGAAAATAATTAACAAACAAAAAGCATAAAATAAACTTAGGCCATTAGCCGACGCTGCCGTGTTGGGAAGAATGTAAGCAAAGCATTAACTGGAACGTTTTCGCAAAAATGCTGATATATTTTGCAAGATAGAACTCATCCAGCTAACCAGCCATCATATGATCCGTCTGAGAGCATTGCAGTCGGTAAATCATTCGGACTAAAAGAAGTAACAAAGATGCCTTCTAAGGAGCGCATAGGCCCGTAACGAAGCGTGCAGCTCACACGGTTTGGAAGCCCGTTCAAAAATCAGCCCTGCTTGCCAAAAATGCCAGTTACGAACAATGAGTATCTTGGCATCGTCTTTAACGATGTTTTGAAAGATCTCACATTATCTTACAAATTAAACTGTCGTGACAAGGTTCATTTCCTCAGAAGAACTGAATGTTTAGAATCTTGCTGAACAATTACACTCAATCAGCGTGGTAAAAGGCTTTTGTAAAAGTTTTGTTGCACAGCATCAAGCCAATGAAAATAAAAGGAAATGAAAACCAAACTTTCATTTGCCCTGTTAGATCGCGGTTGCCACCACTCGGCTATGAAACGCAACCAACTTCATCACACTTCAATACGTTACCACATGCGGGTGAAGCAAAACAAAAGCCCGTCCCGACAGACTCCATAGCGGAGTCTGTCGGGACGGGCGGCGACGGCTGGGAGGCGACCGGCGGCGCCGCCTGCCGAAGCCGGTGACAAAGGCGGCGCGGCGTCAGCGCCGCCGGCCGGGCGACATTCGGTCCGGTCAACACCCGGCTATCAGATAACCGGCCGCCGACTCTGCAGCCGACTGCAATAAGTGCAGCAGATCAAACAGGTGCGCCGGGGACGCGCACTGTCAGCGAGGACCCTCGGGACCTCCACCCCCCCCCCCCCCCCTTCCTCTGTCGGATCCGCCGCGGGGCTCCGGATGGGTGCAACTTGGAAACAACACCATATTAGGTCGGGCAAGTGGCTATTCCGGTGCAAGGGGTAATCTTTCTAAACGAGACCAGCGAAGGAAAGCGTCTGTTCGCTTGAGCCCATGGCGGAACTGAGCTAGATCGACACTGACGCGAACAAAGTCGGCTTCGTTCAGGCGGCGCGCACCATGCTATCTTGGCATGCCGGGCACGTCCGCAGGGTAGGATGCGGGCAGTCGCTGATCGCGGAACGCCGTTACTCGCTCAGCACGACGGCACTGCTGAGCGTCCCACTTGATCGTGCGACGACAGCTTCGCAAACAGCCCATCCGGGGGTGTGGCGGGCGGCTTGATAGACCCTCAGACAGCGTTGGGCAGCTCCGAGAACGTCAGACATAGGTCCACAAGTCGTCAGGCGTGCCGTCTCTGGAAGCCAGGCAGAGGGCTCTTCAGACCGTCAGACACAGGTCCACAAGCCGTCAGGCGTGCCGTCTCTGGTAGCCAGGCAGAGGGCTCTTCAGACCGTCAGACACAGGTCCACAAGTCGTCAGGCGTGCCGTCTCTGGTAGCCAGGCAGAGGGCTCTTCAGACCGTCAGACACAGGTCCACAAGCCGTCAGGCGTGCCGTCTCTGGTAGCCAGGCAGAGGGCTCTTCAGACCGTCAGACCAGGCCACAGGAGCGTGGCAGACAGCCCAGCCGCCGCCCGTCCGTCCATCAGCCCCCCGTCCGCGCCCCCACAGCCGTGTCTCGCGCGCCGCCTCAGACCAGCCCGACAGCCTCCACAGCTACCACGAACAGCTTAGTCGGCACCTCCACCGGCCGGCGACGGTAGCCCTGCCTAATGCGGCGGCTCAGTGTGGCGGAATGCACGGCCGTCAGTCAAGCGGTGGGCTGTGGCCGGGTCGTGCGAGCCCGGTCGGCCAGTCCAGCCGGCGCCGGCCGCCCGGCAGCGCGGCTCATTCATACTCGGTGACCGGTGTGGCCGGGGGGAGGCCAGTGACACCCCACCCGCTGATCGCGGGGGGCGGGGGGTCGACGGCGGAGAGGTAGCCACTCCCGCGAAGGGCCGACACGGCGGTCCGTTCTGCGAACGAGGGGTCCGAGTAAACCGAGCCTTTCGGAGCGGTGACCAGGACTCGCCGTGCCTGCACGGCTGGTCAGACCTGGCGGCCGGCGGGCCTATGCCCAGAGTTCCCCGATCGGGTGTCCGTGGTCTGCTGGCCGTCGTCCGGTTTCGGTGGTCTGTCGACTGCGGTCTGGTTTCAGTGGTCAGCGCCCGCTGGTCATGGAAACCGGGCACCGGCCGCCGCTGAATGAACACGCGTCGGGCCATGTTTTTGGTCGAGACTTATTTGGAGAGACAGGACGATGCCTGTGTTTATGATACGGCTTTGCAAGTCAAACAAACGGCAATCTGCACGGAGGAGACGAGCTATGATTGCAGGGTGCGTTCCAGAAACTTTGCATTCAAGATCACCACTAGGATGCTTCCAGGAACACGGCTACTCCCGGCTGACATTGAAGTGCACTTATGGACTATGGGAACACTTATGGACTATGGGAACATCAAAATGGACGGACTGTGCAATGGCCATTCAACTGCGGGCGACACACCGGGCCATAAAAGGGCATCATAAAACAGCGCCAGGTTGGCGATTCGCTGCCGGTGACGCTCGATAAGGACAGCGCGGCGTGCTGGGCCGATGAAGATCCTCAATGGGCAGCGTCGATCGCGAGCGCTGGGTCTCGCGGCCGACGCCGTCTCGCTCTCCTCCCGCGGCGCCCGTCAGCGGAGCGGGCCAACACGCGACGCGGCACGTCGACCGCAGTCATAGCAGCGCCGCCGCTGGTGCCATCGGAGCGAGGCGGCGGCGCCGGACGCGCGCCGGCCGGCCGCCCGCCGATCCGATCTCCGCCTGCAGCGCTGCACGGCCACACATGCTAAACGTATCAAGGCACGTGCACACGTACCTTCTTGGCGTCGCCGCTGCGCGGGAATGTGTTCATGGTAGACCGCTCAGCGTCGCGGCCCCGCAGCGCTGGCCTCACGCGGCACGAGCTCACGCCGCCACTGCGGTATCGATCAGGAGTCCGCCGCCGCTCACAGCTCACCCGCGAGCGTCAGCGCGCGCCCGGCGAGTCCCTGCACGGCTGAACCGCCCCCTCGTCCTGCACGCGTGGGCCCGTGCCCTCACCCCGCCGCAGCGCTCGCTCGATTGACGCGCTTGCGCCGCGGCGGCGGAGGCGGCGGGCTGCGCGGAGACGGTGGCGCCGCTCGGCGGACTGCGCTGTGAACAGACAAGGTATTGCACGGCTTGTATGTGGGCGGGCGGGCATGACGGCTCCGCAGGGACTTCACAGGCCAGCGGGCTTCGTACCCGATAGGAGCCATCGCTGTAGTCAGAAGGCAGGGTTTGTGAGAGTCACTGCCAGGTACGGGTGCGGGACATTTCTGATAATGGGCTCGGGCGAGCAATCTTTTTCAATGCATCTGTTCTGAACGTTAACACTGTGCTGCTTTCAAACATAATCAATGCGGATCTTACGAACGCAGCAGAATAACAGGACATCCTCCACCTTCTAAGACAAGATTTCTAGCAGAGCGTCGGCTCAAATACATCCGGTGCACGCATGGAGACTCCGCTTAGTTGGCTGGATCTCGCTTACGACATCATCAGATAAGCTGTTTTCCAGTCTCTGCTTCTTTCGCAGAGGCGTTTCCAAAGGTATGTGTGCGGTTGTTCTAAGAAGGCTTTTCAGTGGTTTTCTTTGTCAGGTGAGCAAGCCCAAAAGCTGCACTTCATGACGGTCTCATGCCCGCGGAAAAGCATATCAGGCCGCCCCGATTGGCATCGGCTCTCTGGTACCAAACCCCTGGGCTTATACCACGTCTTAACAACCCAATATTAAACACACCTACCAAAGCAATTGAACAAAGTAACAGAATCCAGTACAAATTTATGAACAATGCAAATAATCTATACACATATATATGATAAACTATGCAAATTAATAAACAAATGTTATCCACAACATTCCTGAGTCAAGTCTCTTGTAAAGATATCCGCACGTATGTGCAAGCGCAGACGCAGCATGCCTCGCTGCGCTGCATATAGCTTGTTCCGGCAGCTCGTGGTTCGCGTGCGCTATTTTTCTGCGCGCGCTGCTTTCAACGTTGGTTATTTCAGGAAGTCGCTAAGTACGTGGCAGCTCGAGCTGTAGGGTTTTCGCGGAAGCGCTGTCGCTGACGTCGATGCTAACGCTCCTTTAACGCATTCCAAACCCTTGATTTGCTCGTTGCAGATCGGTTCCCGGACGCTCTCCATCTTTTTGCGAAGGGTTCAGAGAACATCCCGAGAAGGGCGTGAAAGACGAGGTGCGTTAGAACCTCCAACCCTCCTCGCATCAAAATTCCGTCAAATTTATTATGACTGAAATAGCCATAGGTATGACCCTTCATCGGCATATTAGATTTTTGCTGAAACACAAATATCAGTCTGTTCATGTTTTTGAAAGGCCCGGCCGCATCTCCTACCCATACCTGGCACAGTGCCAGACAGTTGTCCTGCAGCTGCCGCTGGAGCCCGGTCACACACAGGATTGGTGTGAACGGCAGGGAGTGACGTGTCATCCGACACACAGGACCTGTGTGAACGGCTGGGTGTGACGTGTCATCCGACACACAGGATTGGTGTGAGCGAGTGGACGTGACGTGTCATTCGACACACAGGACCTGTGTGAACGGCTGGGTGTGACGTGTCATCCGACAACACAGCACACTGATCAGAGCAATGCCTTTCCGTCACAAGCTAGAGCGCACAGTGGCCGACAAATGGGGTAGCACGGACGGTCCTGCCATCGCGATCACCTGACGCCCGACGACGGCAGAGGCACGGAGATGTGACGCGCGCGCTGCCGGAGCCGTGTCTTGTCCTGCCCGCTCGGCAGGCGGCCGTTTTGAGTTCCGGTCCGGCAACATAGTAGACAACAGACGCATAGCCTTCGATGAACAGACCTAAACGTAGCTCCGGGAGAGAGATGTTAGCCCTTCAGCGACGATCGCGCTAAGATAACAATGTATATCAAGCCTGCAATGGTTGTGTACTCTGTAGGGTAGGGAGGAGGTGGAAAATATATTTTTACAGGGCTTTGTTCCCATGACCGCCAAAGCTCATACAACGGCTTGACAGGCGGGAAAGCTGCTCCTGCCTACTCTTCTACATGAGCTGTATTAACGTGGGGGACCGTATTGTGGCATCGCAGGAAAATCAGCAGCGAATTCTGTGGAGCTGGCGAAAGCTAGGCGCCCTACACAAGTCACGTTATCTCCGCAAAGCACTTGGACGGCACGGTCGAGGTCCGAGAACATGTCCTGTGTGCTAGGACTGCTGATAAATGCGCTGTCTACTCCAAGCACCGAAAATATATACGACAAAATAATGTTTCGCAATCACGGCTACTTCAAACGTAG